GTACCCACGAGAACAAAAATAATAAATTCTTAGTTAATCCAAAGTCGATAAATAATATTGGATAAAACTCCTTTTTAGTATATATTTGAAATATATATATATATAAATATATATATATATATATATATATATATATATATATATATATCGATGGGTAACCGATAAATTGTCCAAAACGGTAAAGTAAAATTGACCATTTGTTAGATTAAGCTTTGAACCGTTGGATCTCAAAAATGATTAAAGATATCTCATTGGAATTCTCCGTAGTTTTTATAACACTACTGGACTCTAATTTAGCAATAACAGAAGAATCGTGATGAAATCGTTCTTAAACGAAAATGACATGTTCATCATTAACTAATCATAGCTAATGATCGGAAGCTCATGAAGAATTAAAATTAAGTTCAAATATATATATATATATATATATATATATATTCTAAGCTCATTTTCCAGCAAGATGATCTTTGCCCACTCTAATCTTCTAATTTATGTCTCTGGAGTAACAAGGTGCCTCACAGTTTTCACGTACGATTTCATTTTCAAGTCTTTTTTCACTGCTCTTTTGACTGTCATAGCTGAAACTCTTCTCTCACGTGCCAAACATCTTATGGATTGAGTTGGATCTTTTCTAATTGATCTCTTTAGCTCTAACTTGAAATGATGATTCCTCTTCCTGTTGTGGCCTCCTGATTCAGTTTTCCACTCTACTGTTCCCTTCATTAAGAACTTATTCAATTTTCTCTTGGTGGTTCTTGAAAGAACTTTGAAAATGGGAGCCAGAGTAGGAATGTTGGTACCATTACTGAAGGCCTGGATCATCTTTTTCTTCTCATCATTGATTATTTGGGAAGACATTGGGGCTGGTGCAAAACAATTTCAACCTTTTCTTTTTCTAGCTGAATAACTCAAAGAGTTCTTCAGTGATTCTTACGAAATATGGTGTCAGGATGACTAAATGTCTTATCTGAAAACCTGGAAAAAATAAACTCAATTACTTTTTATTAGTGATTTTTAGATATTAAACATTTTGTGGTGTAACACGATCTGGACAATTTTGCTGTTACAACCGATATATATATATATATATATATATATATATATATATATATATATATATATATATATATATATATATATATATAGAACCTACTTACCACGGTTTTTACCTAACGGATTTTCAGGGCTTTACTGGCTAAAGAGGTTAGGTGTAAGCGACATTTTATCGGTAAAAAACGTCAATTGTTTTTTTTTTTTTTTTTTTTTTACTGTAGCTGTTTTTATCTATAAAATGTCGCTTGCACCTATCTTTTTTTTAGCCAGTAGTTCCCTGAAGATTCGTTAGGTGAAACCTTGGTAGGTAGGTTCTGCTCACTAGTTTTTTTTAGATTTTACCCTACTTAGTGTATTGAGCACTTTTACGCTTTTACTTAATTTACTCAGTCGGTTTTTTTCTTTTGACTAGACATTGCGTTGCTGATTATTTTCGACCAACACGGATGTCTTTAGTCTTTGATTTTTTACTGAATTTGTTTCACCTGATATCGGTTTGTTCAAAAATATAACAAATACATTTTATTTACAAATTGTATTATCCGGGTTTTTCACAACGCCCGTGTATAGGTACTAAAATAATATATATATATATATATATATATATATATATATATATATATATATATATATATATATAGAAGTTGAAGCATTAAATTTATTTTCTTTGTGGAGTTTTTAAATATTTAAATTACTGTCAAACGTTAAAATCTGTTTTTATCTAAATTGCTAAAGCTATACCACCCCTCTTCTTCCTCCAAAAACCCTACGTTTCATCTCTCATCTCTTTACTTCCCGTTTTTTCCTTTTCACTTTTTTCTCTTTTTCCTTTTCCCATATCATTTCCGTTGAGTTGACCGATTAAACAAGTCAATGTCTGATCCTTACCCCCTCCTTCCTCAATATTAAGTTTTATAATAAAAAGAAATTTAAAAATATATTTTAAAACTCTCCCTTCCATCTCTAAACTCGACCATGACTCTCATGCCATCCCTCACCACCTTCTATGTCAACTTATATAAGCTTAATAATGCCCGTCAAAAGTATAAATCTTAAATTCATTTTTCGTTTCACCTTTTGAAAGTGAAGTCTGAAGATCCAGAGAAAAATAAAATTCTCTGGTGAAATAAATTATTGCAATGGAGCCTTAAAGTGATCTGTTTTTCTTTAAAAGGTGATTTTGGATTTTACTGTATATATATATATATATATATATATATATATATATATATATATATATATAATTAATGCAAATTTGTGTAAGTTTGTCACTAAACTGATTTGTGTTACCTTTAGCATCCTGTCATTCTGACACTCCTCAGTGGTATCAACAATTGAGGACCTTTTATAATGACGTATTTTATTTTTTGAGGATCTGTATCAATGCAAATGTAGAAATGTTATAGTAAAAACTGTATTTATACAAGTTTGTTAAAGTTATTTGTTGGTAATTCTGTAGCGCTTAAAGACCTATTGGGTTCATTTGCTTGAGACCATTTTTAACCATTGCTCTGAGAGAAACAATTGTATATAGTTGATAGTTTAGACATTTCTGAACGAGTTCGACGCCATAACGTATTTAAACTTGACATTAGTTTTTGAGATCATGGCTAAAGTTTTTAGGTTAGCGTTTTGGTTTTCTAGCATCTAACCGCAGCGCAGATTATTCTATGTTCAATTGCCTTATCTCATATACTAAAGGTTTATCTTTAGTTTTACTTCTTGGATGTCTTGGTAGACCGCACCAATCCACCCGCGAGTCTGCAGTAGGCGTGAAAATTTATGCCGAATCTTCGTTCACGAAAGCAAACCATGATATAATCCATAATGATATATACGTCAATATGAATATCAGAGGCCTGTCAGGAAAGTATTTGATAACGAAATATAGCCTGTCTAGGGCTATGACGCCTTATTCCATCTCGAATAACCTTCGTTTGATCTCTTCGTTGCGCTCTCCTTAATCTAGACCACGGTCTGAAATCTTCGTTTCAACAGCGATTTTAGTGTTGGGAAAAGTTACAAGTCGTAGCAAGCGAAACATGAACTGCTTTTAGGTGTTGACAGATCGAGCTGATACGATTTTAAAAAAAAAAAAAAGTCTTTCAAAATAGATGGATACTTTCTGGACAGACATCGTAATGCTGCGAAAAAACTCGTTCTTGAAGAAGCCTTTGACATTCATTATACTTGCTTTAGAACCAGTTGTTATGGCGTAATAGACATGGGCTCTGAATGAGAAATCTGAGAGCCGATTTCGATTTCCAGTTGGGTTTGTTACATTCACTTACGCCCAAATACCCTTGGGAAAGGTATAATTCCATTTCTTCTCTCAACCAGCAACGGGTAGAATAGCAAGACAGACTTGGTCGGCAACCAGTCTACCACAGAAAGAAACGGAACCTACTGCGCAAAATTCTTTGCTTAGTCTGTCATGAATCGAAGGAGACATGATAACCCAAACGTTTATTATTTATTGGCACTTAACTGATAAGTGCATATGTCACTGGGTAGTGGGTAACGCGTCGATCTTGCAAGCTGAATAACAACGTTTCTAATACCAGGCTTTGCTGTTATTTACATGTCCATGATAAGATGTATCAGCGTTCATATGCAATCGTACTTGGTTTAATCGCTGTGTATGCCTTATAACTCGTCATCACAACCAAGATGAGAACGATGGTCCGAATCGTGTGAATAATGTACGCACTAACAACATCTCATTATGTTAAAATATCACAATCGAAATGAGGACAACGTTCCGATACATAAAAATAATGTACCAAAAAAAGGCAAAAGCCGATTTCAGAAGAGTTGTTAACATAGTCGCCAAAATGAGAACGATAGTCTGCAATGAGCACAATTTTTATTGGGATATAATTTCTTGGGTTAGTATCGTACAAGGACAGATATTTAGAAACCCCACCCCGGAAATCAATATTTTATACACGTAAGTAACGTTTTAGTTACGTGAATGTAATTTGTCTCACTGAACGAAATGTAAAAACATTAAATGCAGCATCCTGTAAGGGGGGTATCAAAAACCAACGTTTTGCGAGATGAGCGCGTTAACCATTACCTAGCGATACTAATTGGTTCTAAAGTAAATATAATGGATGCCAAAGTCTTTTTTAAGAACTGAGTGTTGACAAAATGCGCTTAAAGGAAAATGATTGCAGTGGAATGCTGAAAAGACGAATCGTTAGGATTGGATTCAATAATCTACAAGCGAATTTGGTTTCAACAGTCATAAGCCGTTTACCGTTAGACAAATACACCAAACTCGAGCGTTGTGATAAGACAAGCAAAACAAAAACACTTTGATATTTCTACCTGTGTGAAATGAAATATTTCTGTTATTTACATTATTTACATTATTGTCCTCATCTTTGTCGCCATATTTATTACAACGTTTCGGCTGTTCTACGCTCCGTCCTTCTTCAGATGGTTGGAATGTCGAACTGAACCCTTTATTTCGCTCACTGGGGTAGACTGTTCTAGTTCCACATGTCATGTTTAATGGATGTCAGTTATCAGTTATCTCCTGTTAATTTCCCCCTGAATGTTCTCCACTGCCTTAACCGACAGAATTCTGTTATTCTATGTACTTTTTTCACCAATATCTTCATCTTTATTTTTTTGATTTACTAGTACAATGTTTCAGCAGAAAAATTCTTCGGTCTTCCACATGTGTATGTTACATCCGATCTCTAGAATTTTCGCAGTTCTATATTTGAAAAAAAAAAAAAGAATGAATTTCTTTATTTTCTTCTTTTAATCTTGACAAGTAGAAGAAATGAAACAAATTACTCAACGACTACCAAAAAGCTGCCACGCTATACATCTGAGGAAGGCCGAACAATATATCGGCTGAAATATTGGCTCGTAAAAGAAATATATCGAATAATAGATAATTTTGTACATTGAAATTATTTTCCTTTCGAAAGGCTTGCCGAAATTACAACAATGATGGCGAATGTATTGAGGAATGTCCGTCGACGAGATCCAACCGGAGGCGACCAAAAGATCAACTGTTCACTCAAAATAAGTTTACATTTGATGATGTGTGTGTCAATGAATGCCCAGGTGAGTAAAAGGTAAGCAGAAGGTAGGTATAACATATCACTCCGCCTGCATTACTTGCATGTATGTGCAATTTTAACGTGCGCACACACACACACACACACACACATACATACATACATACATATATAATTTGCAAGTAATTAACAGATTTTTAATATGACATTATCGATCATTACTATAAACGTTATATTTAGTATAAACACATGTTTGAACTGACATCGCAGTTATTATTTAAATAGTAAAATTAATGTCAGCCGACCTAGAGACAGAGAAGTCCGATTCTAAAGACACTTTAAAGCCAATCGTACCTTGCTTTCCATGGTGAGGAAAGGGAATACGGGTTCGATTCCTGTCGGCAAGCACATTTTCTTGAGTAAACCGTTTAGATCTTTCGGCTGGTTTCACTCTTTAAGAATAACATCTATGTATACTCAAATCTAGTAAATATAACGTTTATAGTTTTAATAAACACACACACACACATATATGCACACAGGTTCGATGGATAAATTGTCGTCTAAATTACGCAAAAATGTAAAAACTGGCATCTCATTTTAACAGATATCTTTACCAAAATTACGCATAAATCTCTTGAAATGCTAAAGAGTAAGTTTATTCAATAAAATCGCCATTGGCTTCAACGCCGGCCTCCAGATGACTTCGGAATCTCCTGCAATTCTTGTAGACGATCTCCTTGTTTACGTTGGTGAATGCTGCCATAATCCTTGCCTTTCAGTTCATCTTTGGTGTTACAAGGAATTTTGTTGGTCTCTCACTCAACTGTGCTCCACACATAATAATCAAGGGAGTTGCAGTCTGGGGAGTTAGATATCCAGATGTAAGGGGTGATGTGGCTGCAGAAATTGTCTGACATCAATGACTGGGTTCACCTGATTGTGTGCAGAGTCCTGTTGCCAGATATAGTGTCTACCAGCAGCCACCCTCTTGACCCAGGTTAGCACTGCCTCCTCAATGCCCTTGATGTAGGTCTCCATGTTGAGCTTGAGCCCCTGAAGGAAGATGAATGAAGGCATAACGTCGCCATCACTAGTGATCACTCCAAACACCATGATGTTGACTGGATATTTAGTTTTCATCACTAGTGGTACATCTTTTTGGGACACAGCAAGCCAACAGTTGTTCTGTGTGTTTACCATCTTATCGTGACAGAAATTTTTCTTGTCTGAGAAAACCCAAAGCAAGATCGGTTGTAGGGGATGCTTGAGTAACGGGGTCTTTCCTTTGTCCTTCATGTCTTGGGATAAAAATCGTCCCTTTCTCGTCTTGTATGAGAAATACCGAATGTCTTCATGCACTACATGCCTGATAAGAAACTCAGACACTCCTATGTCCCTGTGGCTATGGACCTGATTGACTTGGATGGATCGTTGTTAATCATGGCCTGGATCTCACTAACAAATTCGGGAGTTCTTTTCTGATCAGAACATTCAGAGTTTTTCGAACTGCCATACCTTCGTAATCACTATTAGACTCATCCGACTCTTTCCGAATCCTCTTCACTGTTCGCACATTCACACCCAAATACACTGAAAAGTTTGTATTGGAGCTTCCGGCACGAATGCCAAGCAGTACAGAATACCGTTTCCAAATTGCGTCATGGTGCTCTTTTTCTCACAGACAGTGAAATTAAAACTATAAAATCGCGAAAATTTATTCATCGTACTCTGTATATATATGTTCGTATTGGAGCTTCCGGCGAGAATGCTACGCAGTACATCATGCCGTTTCCAAATGTCTGGTGGAGTGAATTGCGTCATGTAGGATGCAGTTTGCGGAAAGATGTCCATACTGAACGATACAGCCCAAGCTCAAGTTTTATACGATGTTCCCCGATTGCAGACCCAGATGTCTTGTCACACCTATGCAAATCTAGTTGACCCTTTCTAATAAGTGACGGGACATATTGATTCACATCAGTAAAAGTTGAGTCGTTCTAACTATAAAGTGAACATTGCACGGACCTTTAAATTCATATCTAACGGAGCTAGTTTTAAGGACAGGCAAGACATATCCTTGCATTAATCTCAACGTAGATAAAGAAGGTAACATAATACGGTAATTGAATGAGAAAAAGCAAAGCCCAACACTGGTTAAGATTTGCTTAACAAATCTCACACCGACATCGCCAAACCACGACAATCTGAGACATGCTGGATATTTCTGGGGACGAGATATTTTAGCCTTACGGAAGTGTGTAATCTTCGCATTGATCTTGGATTGCTCTACGTGCCATTATCAACAATATTGTTCTAATGTTTTCTAAATTCTGTTCTAATTTTTTCGTAGAACAAATCTACAGACCTGATAAACTAAATCCTTTATCAGATTAATTTCATATCGTCTGGGAAAAAACGAATCACATCGAATATACACTCCCGTGAACGTGCGTTTTTGGTATACAGATTTAACAAAAGTAAAACAAAAAGCAACAAAGAAATGAGTGTTGGATTACTATGTTGTCTATACTTTTATATGGCGGTGAATATTGTACAATCATCTTACGGATGAAGACAAAACTGAAAGCAACAGAAATGTGGTTCTATAGAAGGATACTGAAAATGGAAGCAACGAGCAATAAAATGGCAACGGAAAGAACACTTAGAAATATGTGCTGCGTTTATATATATATATATATATGCAATATATATTTATACATTGTACATATAATATAATATAATATAATATAATATAATATATATATATATATATATATATATACACACACACACACGTAAGTAATAGAAATTATTAGGAGGATTTGAGATAATATTAATTAAATAATTCATCGAGTCTAGAAGAAACCTTAACAGAATGCAGAAAGCACTGGACGGCCGTTTCGTCCTATATTTGGGACTCATCAGCAGTGCGCATTCACTATCGAAAATTGAAACCCGGACAATTACGATATCAGGCAAACATCATACCAACGGGCTACGGTGACGAAGAGGTAACGAATATATATATATATATATATATATATATATATATATATATATATATATATATATATATATATATATGAATATATATATATATATATATATGAATATAAATATATATATATGAATATAAATATATATATATATATAAATATATATATATATATGAATATATATATATATATATATATATGAATATATATATATGAATATATATATATATGAATATATATATATATATATATATATATTTATATATATATATATATATATATATATATATATATATATATATATATATATATGAATATACATAAAAATCAATGAAGATATATACAAAACGCGCACGAGATATGCTTTAAGGAAAAATCAAACCAAAACAAAATTTAAGAAAAAATCCTGCTGCATCTCACTAACTTTTACATACTTTAGAATCAAGAATGTTTCTCACACATATCTGAATATTATCTGTTAATTCATTACACGTAACACATATCTAACAAATAAGAAATAACCAAACACAACATAAAATTAATGTGTCTCTTTGTTTTTTATCATTTTTTATCATTTCTATCTTGATCGCTGACAAAGCTTTAATAAAATGAAACATGTTAGATTAAGATCTCTTTCCTACTTGTTCTTTATCCTATCATATATATATATATATATATATATATATATATATATATATATATATATATATATATATATATATACTACATTTATGAATATCAGTTGAATTCTAAGAACATGCAAGGCAAAACCCGATATGACAAATGACACACAAAACAAAAAAGCTTTAAACCAGTCCTGTGGCTATCGTTAATTTCCCGCCATTAAAATATTTTAATGGAAAAAAAATTAATTAAATATTACGCCAAAACAAAAATGAAATAATTTATTAAATTAGTAGTTTGAAAAGTACTAAATTAATAAGCTATATCATTTCCATTTTCATATTAAATTTTGGTTTTATTTACAAATAAAATTCATATATTGAATATAATCCACGAAAAGATGTGATTACAGTTTTCATTTATAACATGTATAAAAAAAAGTGACTGGATTAAAAACCTACAATGAAGTATTATTTTTAAAACTCGCCTTTAAAAGGTGTATTTATTTGTGCTAACATTTTGCAATTTTTTTTTTAACAGATTACACGTACCAATACGAAGATACGTGCGTCTTGTCCTGTCCTCGTGGAACGACACCGATGAAGATTAATCCACTTTCTGCTCGGGTTTGTACCAGGTGCAAAAAATGCGCAAAAGGTAACAAAAAAGTAAATAAGAAATGAATAAAATAATTATCGATTCTATTTGAAAAACAATTATTAGGAAAATTCTAAATTTCCCAGTTTTGCACAATATTAAGAAAATCATAGACGTGCCACATATGCAAGTCATTGTTAGTAAGTTATCTCTTCAATAAGAGTCGGACTCAGCGTACTCCCTGCTCTTCCCTTCTAATGTGAGAATGGACTACTCCTACTTATAAATATGACAAGTAGAGTAAAATTTCAGGAGTAGTTGATTTACTCAAGGTTTTCCGTTATATCTATGAGTATTTAATAAACCTCTTCTTGTTTGTTTTCCTTACCTAGTCTTTTGTTCCTTTGATACTCTCTCTTACTACACATTTCCTAATTCTCGCCTATTTTGAATAACAACGATATAACAACAATATTGTGAGTATTGTATTCAATGTAGTGAAAGCCTAGATTAACACTTGTATTGTCACGTTTAAGGGTACAGCTGAAAAGAAAATGAAAAAGGCACATTATCAAGAAAGGCGCCAAAAATTAAAAAGTCGGTGGCGGGAGATCAGATGTTAAAATCGTATGTGGGGTGGTTTAAATCAGATATTATATTTTAAGGATTCCAAATTCGATATTTTTTATCTGATCATCTGATCCTGTAAAATGATTTTTTAAGATCTATTATCCGAATGTAAACATCTTTTTGTTTTGCTATTAAATACAGATTCTTTTGCTGTCCGTTTATACTTATTTTCAGAGACCAAATAATTTTGTCAACGTACAAAACGCATAAAAGTTCTAGAAGCTAATTTATGGAACCATAAAAATAAGGGAAGTTTCTGACTTAATTTGAAAATGAATAGCACCAATGCTTTTAGACGAATTATACAAATCAGCTGAACAGCATTGTCACAGATTGAGGCGAAGACGACAAAGATAAACGTTTATTTATATTTTGTAACATAAAAGTGAGAGGGTCTGAAGACGACTCCATCTTCAAAATAGCACTGTGAACGGTTGTGAAACCGTGCGTGCAACACAAGGCAAACACGATTGATACAAAAATATATAACTTATTCGCTTCATTTCGTCCAACATAAAACAGATCCTGGGTTGAATAGTAAGAATATGCGACAGGATTTGTCAGTGGTTTCGGCTATTCTGGTTTCCGTTGTTGGATCGTCTTGGTTGCTGATTGAATAACTTCCTGGCTTCTGCCGGATTAAGGCAATATCACATTGAAACACCCATTCTCGTACGATCACCGAAGTTAAGCAACGACGAACCTGGTCATTACTTAAATGGGTGACCACTCAGGAATACCAGATGCTGTATCTTGGATGTACAAATGGTATAGCTTACGGCCATATCACGTTTAAACACCTTTTCTCGTACGATCACCGAAGTTAAAATCCGTCTAGATGATTGATCGTTTGGGACTACCAGGTGCTGTAAGTTTGGATGTGCGGCTGGTGTAATGGATAACGGCTCGGGATTGGAACTCATTGAGCCGAGTTCCAATTCCAGTTGGGTTCATTATATTTATTTACCTTCAAGTACCCTTGGTAAAGCAATGAATCCACCTCTTCTCTCTCCAATTTGTAGGACTGTATCAGAAAATCATTATTATCTCCAAAAACATTCTTGCAATCTGAAAATATTTTCTGGTTTAAATTACGTGCAAAAGGTTGATAAGCCGTAAAAAAACAATCAATTAATCAATCCTGACCCCCTGTCGACTAAATCTGACCAGCCTTTTCTTTTTCTTTGAATCTACTATCAAAATTCATTTTCATATCTCGCAGCGTTTGATGGCAAAGTTTCAAGCTTGAGAAATAGTTATACATGTATCTATAATGTATATCTTGACAGCAAGAATTCATTCAAACAGGTTTTATTAAATTTATTTAACAAAGCCTCTGATTTTTATTGGATTTTCGCAATAGGTTGTTGCACATTGGAATTATTCTACTGTCCATATATACAGGAATATCTCATCTTGATTAATTCACTTATTGCTATTCCTATTTATAGGGCCGATGCGTACTACCCCCGATACCCGAACATTGCTTTATGACCCTCACTATTTTATCAACATTTGCTTTTTTTTTCTATTTACATTTATATACGTTCCAAATTAAACAAAACACAACTGACTAGTAAAGGATGAAACATTTTTGCGCGTTTTGACTTCATTCTGGG